CACACTGAGGAAGAGAATATATTATTCTGTGAATTAAGCTAATATGATGTGAGATTCATGTTGATGCTGTGAAAAGTTGGCAGTGATTTTCCTGTTTTATGTAGATTGGCAAAGTGAGCAACTGAGGCTCAAAAAACGCTCAAAGGGAAACAATATCAGAGAAACCATCAATAACAAATGAAGATATTTACCAGTCTTCATTTTGTTTTGGCATAATTATACCACATTTATTTTTTTCAGCCTAAGTAGTTAAAGGGCTGAGCTAATTTCCTAAATATGTGTCCTGAATGCAGAGTCTGACGGCAGTTGGTCCATTAGAAAGAATAAAAAAGGATGGAATTATGTGCTTGCAAAGACTAGTAACGTATGCTTAGAAATGATTAGGGGCAAAAACTAGGAATTCCATGCATTCAGATTCCTAGGGATGTGCACATACTAACAATAGCTACCACTTGCCTCATGCCTATTATGTGCCTCGAATTGTTATAAACACTTGACCTGTTAACTACTTCTCAGCTCATACACCTCTATGTCATAGATATTAATAATATAAGTTCTACTCAAGGTCATGCACTGAGTTGTCAGCAGAACTGAACTGAGCTTAGAACCACATCCTTTTTGACCACTCTCTGTATCACCTTGTCTGAAAAGACAGTCTCTCTTGCAAAGTTGTCCAAAGAGTGGTGCTTCATTCTAGATACATGACTTTTATGATTGACAAGAATATGAAAAGAAATAATTGCAAGATCAGTTACTATAAGACACAGAAAATTAACTTTAATGGAGTAAGTCAATATTTGTATTTGTAGAGAAATAAGAAGTAATGCCCCTTCCAATAGGCTTCCTGTATAGTGTCTTTTGTGTCTTTCTTTGGTAATTACTACTGCTACCACCTTGTAATATTTAAAAAGTGTTTAGCTAGACAGGCACTTTACAGGGACTATCTGATTTCATACAGTAGCAAATTTATGGGGGCCGACAATACCATTCTCATATTACACATGGGAGACTAAGGCTCAGGGAGTTTCATTTATTCAACCCCACAGTATTAGAAACTTATATATAAGGCAGAGATCTAAACTCAGGCAATTTGCCTACAGAGCTCACACTATTTGTCATTATGCCTCTCACCAGAATATGTTGTCTCCCATTGACCTAGTCAATGACAGGGGTCGGAGGGTGGGGATTATACTCCATAAATAGAATGATTTTAAAAGCTTTATAAGAGCATCTTTTACACATGGGGACAGCATAGATTATCGGTTTTCTTCCTTTTGAGCCTTTCTAGTTATCATGAAAATAGGCAAGAGGATATTTCATAATGCTCAAAATATAAAATGAGATGTTTATATTTGACCTCACTTGATTTAAAATAATATTATATATGTCATATACCTGTTTTGATTTTCTCAATTTCAATTAACAATTTTAGCATAAATGTAGTATACAATTAAAAGATTATTTTAGTATTCATTTTTGAGAAATCTAATCAGGACCCTATAATAGAGTTGTTGGACTGGGAAAGATAAACAGACGCTCTTATCTTAAAGAATTCATGCTTTTCAAAAAAATGTTAGCAGATTACTTCATCCTGGTGAATCATTACCAAGATACTTTGTGCTTGTGACTAGAAGAGCTGTAATTATTTTATTATTGTTATAATTATCATTATTGCATTTTGCATGTATTCAGTAGTCAAGCAGATTCATTTAGCAAATTGGTTGGTGTGCAGCACACACACAAATAACATTTACATAAATAAGAACAGCTGTGTAAAATATTGCCTTTGGAAAGGCAAATTTACTGAGACAGTGATTATAGCGTCTGAGCTCCAGGCATGACCATAATTGTAGGACCATTCTCTCCCTCATGCAGTATTTTATGTCTATTGCCCTCAGAACCAGAAAACAGTGCATTCATAGCAGCAAATGCCATTGCCTCTCCTGTAAAACTGGTTCTGTTACAACCTCCTGCTTTTAGTTACTGAAAACTTGCTGAAAATCCTCCTTAAAAGGTAAAACTTTTATTATTTGGCCTCTTCCAACAGATACAGCTTGAGTGAAAAGAGGGTGATGTTTAGTTTCTAAAATAAGACAATGTTTTATTTCATGTCTTAAAAATTATTTTTAAAAGAGAAAAATATTTAAGCATTGGATTGTATTAATATGGCTGAAGCAACTCTTCAGTATCAGGAAGTGCCTGTTTATAAATTAAAAGAACACCCTGGCCGGTTTGGCTCAGCGGTCGGAGCGTTGGCCTGTGGACCAGAGAGTCCTGGGTTCGGTTCCCGCTAGGGGTATGTACCAAAAAAAAAAAAAAAAAAATGACATTGGTTTTGACTCCACTGACATGCCAGGATTTAAACTTGAGTTACTTGGACTTATTTCATGAACATATAAATCAGAAAAGGGTTGTGTTTTTGTGTATTACATTTTAGACAATAATTTCATTTAAAAATGTTATTTGGATCTTACATATTAGGTGATGAAAATGGGTGATAATGTACTTATATTCAGAATCATCTATAAATTTTTAAGTCTTAGGTTTTGCCATCTCATTTGGTATAAAATCTGGAGGTGGATACATGTTTGCATTTATAGTACATTGAAAAGGGCAAGTTATTACTTAGCCTTTGTTTGAATTCCCTAAGGGTAATCCTGTACTTTGTTAGTGCGATGCATTCATTCTACTTTTAGTGGTTCTCTTGTTAAAGATTCATGCAATTGAAAAGAACTAACTCTAAGACTTTTATTTTTATAGTCTCTAAGACTTTTATTTTTATAGTACTTCAGTGGTCAAAGCGAGGTGTTTTCATAAACATAATATTTGATCCTCATAGCACCATGTGAGGTTAACAGGATCATTTGTTCCCCGCCCCACACTTTTTACATATGAAAAAACTGAGGGTCCCAGAGATTGCATGACTCGCCCAGTGTGAACAGCATCACTGCCACACTGACTGAAATCCAGAACGCTGAGCCACCTGCTCTTCTGGTCAAAATCAAATCTAAAACAATTGTCCACTTTTATCTGATATTAGAAACAACATATGCCCTATTTATTCTTCACCTCATAAAAGGTGCTAGAATACGTTTAAGATTGATAAGCAAAGAATATTTTGTAAAACTAAAGTGTGAAAAAATTGCCTTAAGTATTGCTTATTTAAATACTTCTTTTAGTCAGGTTTAAATTTTGGTTTTCTAGCAGTAATTTTAGCTGATAGAAACTTAGTGTAATAAGAATACATGCTTATGATATTCCTGATGGTATGGGTTGTATAATTATATTTATATGTGTTTGTGTGTATACTTATGTGCTTTCTCTACTGAGATGGAGAAGAAATTTGTTCCAGATATACAAGCCTTTGGTATTTGTACTATCGATTTGAATGTCTATTTTTAAAATTATTTGAAAACAAAGCTTTAAAAAAGAATAAGCTGAGAGAATCACTCCTCAGATGTATATAACGTAGCAGAATGAAGTACTTAGCTTAGCTTGGAATGAAAATGTAAGAATGCACCTATCATACCCACCAATAGATCACATAGAAACGGCTTGAAGTGACCCAAAGACACGCCACTCACTTTTGCAGCCATGGCACCATGTCCCTCCAGTGGCTCATGCTGAATCCCTGATGGGGCCAAACCATTTGATCCCTTGCAGTCTCCCTCCCCCCCACCCCCTCTGTATCACATCTTGTTTTCCTGTCATTCCAAGCACTAGTTTTAGAAATATGTTCTTATATTATGCTTCATAATTTTTTCCTACAAAGAACTTTCAGAAGAGGTAGGTGGATCTTTCTCAGCCCATAGAAACCAAAGAGGTATTAAATTAACGCTTATCAATAGAGTTTATAATGAGAAAGTTTTCGCAATCATCCAATATCTCCATTAGCAATCTAGGACATAATGTCCGTAGAAAGAGTCCCATTCCCTTCCCACGTTCTTCTTACGTGACACTCAGAATGAAGCCACTCCCAGACCTGTGTAAAATGACCACTGAGTGGCAAATTGATAATGAGCTGCTGGCCTACCTATGATCTCCCCTGCTCCTGGAATCTCCAGAGGTCACGGGGCCCTTTATGTAGGTTTGAAATCTTCCCGCCCCAGTTGCCCCTCCCAGGGTTCCTCTGTGCATGGGAACCAGAGGTTTCAGAAGCACAGGCAGAGGCAGCTTCCTGGGAATGAAGGCTGAACAAGGAGACCCAGATAAGACGGCTGTCTCCGTGCAAAAAAGACATTTTTGAATTTTACATCCTCCTATTGTGGTATAATTTGAGACTAGCTAGAGCTAGCTTTATTTTTTGTTTGTTTGTTTGTTTAATGTTTCTCTTTTTCATAGTTGACAAAAAAAAAAAAAAACACCACCAACAAAAACAAAGCAACAGCAAAATAGCCTTTTTGTAAATGTTTTATGAAAGGACAAGTAACTATGTCATTTAATGGAATAATACCAAAGTAGCCACAATCATTTTTAAGAATTCTGTTTTTGTTATCACCACTGCTAGGGAAGAACTGTTCAGCAGCTCTAAACACCATTGTGAATAATTAATTGTCCTGAAATATAACTGAGTCAAATAAGCACTCAATTTTTAAACTATTTTAAGAATGGATTTTGTGCAGCCAATTCTCAAGGGCTGAAATAATGTTTTTGTGGTCTCTAGATTATGTCCACCGAGCCTGTGCAAAGAACAGGCTCATTCTTTGACTCTGAAATGGGTAGTACACCGGGTAAGATTTTTCTGGTCACGGTTGGAGTCATTTAGATAATTCTACAAGTGGCTCTAAAGATAGTGTGAAGTGATAAAGAGAAAAAGTATGGGTGCGCTTTTTAAATAAACCTGAAACACCTGAATATGGTAGTCTTTTAAAATTCAACAATTTAATATAGCAAACAGCAGCATTTTGAATTACATATCAATTTCTAATACTAAATTGTGCTTGGAGTTTTAAGATTATAGCTATGTTATGAAATGATTATGTTTTCTTCTTCTTTTATAGGTAACCCATTAACAAAGAATAAACCACGTGATCCTCAAGGCTGATCACATTGGACATATGTATAGAGACAACTTCTGAGGTGGTGTTGAAGGAAGATTTTTATACTGCTCAGAAGGCACTCCAGACTCTTATTTCCATGGGATCGTATGGCTCGTAATCAGCATCTTCTTGAAATTAAGACTTAAAAAAAAGTCAGACATGAACTTCCATGTCGTGAAGAGTTCCTCAGATTTAAACTGTGTTCAACTTGTAAACTTACACTTGCTAAAAGAGTTTGAAGTCCCCATCTGAAGAGTTGGCATTTTGGGGGGATGTCAGAGACACTTGCCTTTTAGGCTGTTGGCTCCAAATGTGACTGCTTCTCTTGTTTCTGAAAGTCTCCCAAGTGCACTGGCCTTCTGTCATGGATGTGTTCCTGGGTCTGGTCCTGTGTTCAGTGGCTAGTGGGACTGTATATGGCTTTAGTGACATTTCCTTTGCAAACTTCTCTCTGGCATGGTGTGGACTGAGATCATTTTATTTGTATCCTAACCTTGGAGCTCTGAACGCCTACATGTTTTAACATCTTAAAGTTGCTTTTGTTAAAGGAATGGAAAAATATATCCATTGATAATAATTACTGTTGGCAAGTAATAGTTACCTGAATACATCAATTACATAAGAATGTATAGACTAGCTGACATGTTTCCCCAAGGCTAACACTACTGCAGCGCCGTCAGTCACATAGGTAGTACTTAGAACTGAATTACCATTTTCATTATATACTATTTTGTACATCTAGAGCACTCTCCCTTTTGATTTTTGTTTATTTTTTTTAAGTGGGCTGTTATCTTTTTATGTTTACTTTTTTCCTTTACAGAAATCAGCAGTGAGCAGTCAAGTATTTAGTTAGATACCCTTCAGTTTAAAAAATTGCCAGGGATGCATGCGGGTTTCTGATTTTTAGCTTGAAAATTAGTCACTTACATTTCTTCTAGTATTTTTTTTTTTTTTTTTTTACTGTCCTTCCTGTCTCATTTTTAGAAGAATGTCTCTTGCTCAATCTCAATGACTGTTTGAATGCTGTTTGTCCAGTCTGTTGATAAAATAAATTGTTCATTTTCCTTGGTCTCAAATTTATAAATATTTGCTTATAGTTGTCCCATTCAAACAATTTCTTAGGTCAGATTTTGCCCACAATTTTGTAGTCATTTTAACATTTGTGGCTTTCAGTTCTACAGGAAAGTCTTATAAATATTTAAAAGCCTTAAACATGTATGTACCTTTTTTCCTAAGTTATTACAGAATGTATAATTTTATACTACATTTATTTTGTCTCATGTATGATGTGAAGGGAGAGAAGACTGGAAATTACAAAGCTATTCTGTAATAATATTGTATAAACTTACAGTTTGAAGGAATGTAAACGGAGGGACTTCTGTCTTTTACTCATCTTAGACTAATAGGAAGATACTTCAGAAATTGTCCTATTGAAAGTTCCATTATGGTCGAGAAGGTGTGGACATCTTTTTTATTTCTAAAACTCACTGACATGGCCAATTAGGGATATGCTGGTTTCCATAATGGAGGCTGAGCATACTGAAGACCTTTGGTCTGTTAGTTGGTAACAATTTTCAAAGACTGATACATGGCCCAGAAACTTTTCTGGGCAGAACAACTAAGAGTGTTAAAATTTGCTTAAAGTTAAATTTTTAAAGTATGCTTTTGATATTGAACTAAAGTATACTGCCCTACACGTCAATGAAATGACTTCCCTCTTTTATTTAAATTATGCATAAAATTAATGAGATGACTCCATGTGGATTTTGCAATGGTTCAATACTGTATGATCTCTAAGACAGGAATAACAGTTGTACTGGAGTTTCTACATCAATTATATCATTAATTTGTTAGGAACAAAGAAGAAAACCATATTATTTTGGAAATTATGAATTTGTCCTAGGTTTGTTTGAAATTATAGATCATGCCTCTCATTTATTAAACTATGTCCTTTAAAACAACACTAAAAATTCTGTATTATATATAAGTGTAATACATGCATATCAATAGAAAAAAAATAAATGGAATTTCAAATATACTAACTAGATTATCCCCAGTAGATTAATGTTGTGACTATTCAGAAAAGGTGAATAAAATTGGGATATAAAATGGACTCTCTTTCATTAGTTACATTTGGAGAATCTGTTTTCTAGTGTTTTATTTTAAAAGCACTTCAGTTATAATCCAGGAAAACCTCTGAATTTACATGGAAACGGACATAACTTCTTCAATCTTTTTAAATAAAAATCCATGGCAAATCTTGCCATTTACACAGGTTCCAATATTTGATAGTTTAAGATTCACAAGAAGTTGTGAAAATACGCACAGAGAACTCTGTGTACCCTTTCTCTATCATTCCCCAGTGACAACATCTTATAAAACCATAGTATTGTCAACTAAGAGTTTGATATTGGTACAATGATACTATTAACTCAAATATAGACCTTATTCAGATTTCACCAGTTTTAACATACACTTTGTGTGTGTAAGTAATCTTATCCTTTTTGAGTAAATTGGAACCTATCCACTGTAGTATACCATGATGTGGATTAGAGTAGGAGAATATGCATCAATGAGTAACTGATTTGTGATAAATTTTTGAGGTTCTCTATTTTTAAAATAGTACTTTATTTTTATATACTCTTCTTGCTTTAACACATGAAAACATATGGTTTTAATACCAGACAGCTCTATTCATGATTTTAAATTTGGTATTGGTTTCAATGGGTAAGAGGAGAACTCAGAATCTGTGTCTATGGTTGAGTTTAATCCTGTTCTTTATTTGCATCGGCAAGTCCTATACTACTATACTAATGCTATACAGGTGGATTGTGATTTTTGATAATACTCTGTAGCTAACAGCACAATAGTTTAATGGAACTTAAACATTTTTAGATTATTTTATCAATTTATAAATGATACATCAATCTGAAAGCAATATATGCAAAGATATCAATTAGTATTTTTCATTATCCAACCCTTTCTCATTTGACTCACTTAAGTTGAGGGAATTAAATTGATGACAGGCAATTTGCTTAGAGAAATTAAAAAGTTGGGGAGACATATACTAAGCATCTTCTGCTTCCCTTACCTACATAGAGAACTCATAGAATGTGACTATTTTTATCAAGGTAAGAGTTGGTCTATCTGCCTTTTGTTCTTCCTGTTTTTCTTTCTCCCTCATTTTCTTTCTCTTTTGTTTTATATGCAGAATGCTTGAAAAAAGTGGAGAAAGCAGATTTCTTCTTTATTGCATTGACCTGCACTGTGAGAGACTGTAAAAAGTAGTGTAGATATTACAATTACTTAGCGTTTAACTGACCATTATTAAATTCTTACTAGGCACAAACATATTTGGATAGATTGAATTTTAGAGTTAGATGAAGTTCGGCCTTAAAAATGGCCTTTAAAATCAGTTCAATAAATATTTTTCAGTGCCCTACATGGGCACTATTGCTAGCCAATAGAAAGCAGGTACACAGACTTGTAAATATTTCATATTGGTTTTAATTTTTTTCATATCTGATTTTCTTTATTATATTGCAAATGACTAAACAGTATGCACTATGTCTTAAGTATTTTATTTTTCTGGAAGGTTCTGTTTTACACAATGGTTGAACTTTATTCTAGAAGTTACATGAGCAGGGCAATGCGTGTCCAAAGTTGTGTTTTACAGATTTTAGCGAAAAGGTGATTGAAAGTTGTAAGAGAGATTGTGAGCTTGAAGAAACATTACAAGGGACTCAAACCATCCAGGAGAGAGCTAATGTAGGGCCGAGTTTGGGCTATTACAATGAGGAGAATGTAAAACACGGGGTATCAGTCTTGGTTGCAATTTAAGTTACATGAAGATACTAAAAATTATCCATGCCCTAGTCTACCCTCTGAGAGTCTCTTAATCATCTAGGATTGGAGTCTGGGCAGAGTATTTTTTAAAGCTCTCCAGGTGATTCTAATGAGCCACTAGAATTAAGAACCACTAATTCAGGGTTTCACCAAGGTGGAAATAAAGACTTGAAAAACTCGAGTGGATAAGGGAAAGGGAGATGTGAAAGCGAGCTCCAGAAGGTTTAGTAGTAAAATAGGATAATAGAGCTGCAGTTAAATATAAGATAAAAACCTGAATGAAATGTAAACTGAGTGGCAAGTGGAGACCGGAGTTTATTTTTCAAGCGTATTGAGTTTAAAGTGCCAAGGGTACTTTCAAAAAGGTCATACGAGATAAGAAGTGAACAGTTTTTATTTGATTTGTAATGAGAGATTATTGTTGGTCTTGAAAAGAGCAGTTTCAATGGAGTGCTTATTGTAAAACTAAGATTTCAGTGGGTCGGGGAATGAAGGAGAGATTTGAAAGTGGAAAAAGCAAGGTCAACTTCTCATTCATTGGGGAGTGAAAAAGAAAAGTAGGACAGTGGTTATACAGGGCAGGCTGAATCGAAAGAGTACATTTTTTTTTTAATGTGGGAGAAATAAGAGTATGCTTATATATGTTGCAAGGGAGAGAGACCTAGGAGTGAAAAAAAAAGAGAAAGAAATTGATGAAGGCAAGGGTATCCTCATAATGTATAAGGAATAAGCAGGACCAAATCCCTAGAAAATTGAGTGGGATGGGAACAATGAAGAGGTAATTGGTATTTAGGTCCTTGGTGACCTTCAGCAGAGCCGTGCTGGTATGTAACAGACCCTGAGCAATCACTGGAGTTGATTAGGACATGGGTGAGTATCGACTTGTACCTGGCTACCGAGACTTACAAAGTTAATGATTCTAAGATCATAAAAAGATAAACAAGAGAAAAATTAAGTCTCAATATTCCTATTTATAAAATGAAAATACTTTACCTCACAGGATTATTTTGAATAATCGATGAGTTAATAGATATAAAAGTGCTTAGCATAGTATCTCATGCATAGTAAATATTTACTAAATGGTGGTTCAATTGTGAAAGATGCCACAGTTCTGTTTGCAACTATGTAAAATCATGTTGATAGAAAATAATATATATGATATAAAATAGTTTGGGTCCTGCTGGTGTATGTGTTAAATAGAAGAGGAAGATATAGAGGCATTACATTTAAATCACTTTTTTTTTTTCTTTCTAAAATTAAGTGACTACAATGTAGG